TGTTGTTGTTAAATGATTACCTACAGGTCCTCTGCCAGATGTTACATTTGCGACAGGCTTGATTTAAAGCACTCTGTCCCATTGCCCTTGCAAGTTTACTTAACACCTGTCTGATGACATTCCTGTTTTTGTGTGTAAACTGTGGACTCCAGCATTTGCCAGTCCCACTGATCTGTCAGCTCCTTTAAGGCAGCCTCTTTACACCTTTGTGGCTCTGCTGGGCCCCTGCACATCGCCCTTGTCAGTATGTGTCCACAGGAGGAAGGCGCTGACATAGTGAAAGGACTGCGCGTAGCTGCGGCGCTCAGGTAGCTCACCTCCCTCCCCGGGGATCATTAATCCAGCGCTGTTGCAGGCTGTCAGGCTGCAGGGTGGGGAGAAGGAGTTCTGGGTTCCTCTGGCATTTCATCTTGGCTCTTTGCCATCAGACTTTTCCCTGGAGAAAGGAGGGGCCCCTTGAGGAGCCAGCGGGCAGAGTACACAACAGGGATGGGGTCAGTGTGTCAGTGCAGGTGTGGGGCACGGAGCCAAGGGCTTATTCATCCAAGGAGGTGGCGAGGACACTGCTCTAAGAGCATTCTCGGCACCTAATCCTGCAGGTCCCCTCTCCCCTGGCTTCTCCCTCTCATAACCGTGCTCTGGGGCTGGGATGTGGGGTGCACACTCTTGCCCTCTTGAGATTCCCCAGCCCATTCATTCTCGGGGTGCATGTGCACTGGAAACAGTTCAGGTCCTTGGGAATTGATCAGTTCTGCGGCTGCACTGCCTGGATTTCAATCTTCCATCTCTCCCTCCGTCTCTGCCCAACCTGGGCTCACTGTTTGACTCTGGCCTGGTAACTTAGCTTCTCGGGGTCTCATCTGTAAAATGGGACTTCATAATGGCACCTCCCTCCTAAAGCTGTTGTGAGGATCGAATGAGCCACTACAGGTGAAACTCCTCGAACAGCGTTTGGCACATAGTAGGAACTCAGGAAAGGTGAGCCACTCTCCCTGAATTTGGTATGTGCGCCCTCGGGAACTGATGGTTTCTAAAGAAAGTTCGGTCTTCTTGCAAGCTTTGGGTACCTCTTCTTCCTCACTGAGGTAGATCTTGGGGTTTTGGTGATCTCAGTCTGTTGCTATTTTACCATTTGTACACCCTGAGGGGTTTATATCCCAGTGAGGCGGAATCTGCACATAGAAGTTATAGGGCAGGTTATTTTCTTTACCCAGCACTGACTTGCTAGATTTTTTTTCCTTCTAGCTAAGTGAGATCCTTGCATCCTCGAGGATGAGAGTGAATTTGGGTTGGATGAGAAAATACAGTGATGCATGACACACTCGGATGGGAAACAGGTTAGAGACTCAGATGGGAAACAGTGGTAACACCAGTGCAGGTGTTGACCTTGGTGTCAAAGGCATGGATTCGGGACCCCATTCTTCAGTTGGTAGCCGTGCGGCCTTGGGTGATAATCTGAGTCCACTGAGCCTGTCTGCTCATCTGCAGAAGGACAGGATGCCTCTGAAGCTCCGTGAGTGTAATAGTGGGTGCCGTGATGTGGCCGGGAGTTCAATGTGAGCAGGAGGTCGGTTACCAGAGAACACAAGTATCTTCTGCCCCTTTAGAAAAAATTAATGCGATTGATTCTGGTGGGTTTCTCCTTCCTGCTGGAAAATGCTGAGCACCTTGGTACATGGCAGGGGAAGTGAGAGGAGGTGGGAAGAGTGCTGCTGGGAGTTGTGGTGGAAGTGTAGGGAGCCACCTTGATAAAATGGGCCTGGCCACTGTAAGATGTTCTTATTTATTTATTTTCAAATTGTGGCTCCAATCTTTAAACTATTTTATAGAAAGGGTCAGTTAGACAAGAATAATCCACGAGGATTAAGCTCTTACCCAAGATGATTCCTGGGTCATCTGGGACAGCAGCTGCAGCTACAAGGAGAAATGACAAATTATCAGAAATCATGAGGCAGGTAGGGACTGGGCTGGGAAGTGTGTACATTTTCTAGGCGGGAAGAGCCAGAGCAGTTTCCATTTATGGAGACAAGAGCCTGAGCTGAAGAGGTTAAAGCAGTCTGAGTGCATCTGAGTTCATTCCAGAGGGTGGAGCCATTTAGTGCCACCAATGAGGCCCCAGTGGGCCCTGCACACCGCCTGCAGGCGCTCACTGCACTGTGGCCCAGCACTGACCAGGGGAAGAGGGACAGGCAGAGCCTCTGACCCCAAACAGCTGCATCTTGCCACAGTGAAGGAACTGGTTACCCTAGGACAGTTGCTCTCAGCTACACCCTGACCCTCAGGAAATTTGCCGGCTCTCTCCTTGTTCCCCTTGTTTGATCCAGGGAAACTGGGATTTCTTAATGGAAAGAACAGGTTGCTCCTGGCCAGGAATGGCCTGCAGCTGCTTGTCTTTGCTCCGCAGAGAGTCCACCCTCCCTCAGAGGAAGGAGGCTCTGGCTTTGAGGACCTCCCAGCACAGAGGCGGCTGCAGGGCAGCTGAGCTCCAGTGGCTGCCTGGACCTCGGTCTGAGCTCCCTACCTGCTCCAGTTATTTCTGGTGAGCAGAGGGGATAGGACTGTGAACTTGCACATGGGTGGCCTTCACTTTCTGTGAGTCAGTTTCACTCTACACCTCATGGGTCAGTAGACAAGATCATCTTCAGGGGTATTCCATTCTGAAAGTATACCATTCTCCATGCTCCTTCTCAACCCAGAAGGCAGGAGGGGCTGAGTGCCCTGGCACTGGGGAGGGAGCAGAGGCTCAAGGCCCTGGTACAGTCTTGGTTCTAGGTGAGAATGGGCCCTTCCCCAGTGCTCGTAGCTGAGGCCCTGACGAGAGATGCGACTTGCCCAAAGTCACGCATCTACTGGGAGATGGGACCAGGACCAGATCCAGGCTCTTTATTTCTGAGCCCTCTCCCTCATAAGGTCAACAGTGAGTGTACGTGGTGGCCTCAGGGCAGTGTGGCATGCTTGTCTTATCAGAGGCCACCACCTTAGGGGGTTCTGTACTCTAGCATCCAGGGACATATGGGTCCCATTGCCCAACCCCCTTCCTTATGCCCCTTCCTCATCATGGGCCCTTAGCTGCATCACAAGCTGGTCCATATGATTTACTCCTGTTCCCCAGCTGTCAGGTTCCCTAGACTGCTTGTCAGGTGAACTTCCCCTCCCAAGTCTTGGCAGCGGTTGTCTTCTAGGTTTCAGAATCCTGGGGAAGGAGAACTTTCTGGGACATGAGCCTTTGGGGAGGGAAAGGTCGTTGGACAAGAAGGGAACGTGAGGTTCACCCTGTGGGACTCCCAGCAGTAGAAGGCAGGCCACGTGCCAGCACAGGACAGCAGATCGAGGCTGCTCATGCGTTTCGCTCGCCCTTGGCTGTGGGTTCAGCCTGGTCACCCCGGAGGTTCTCTGGCCGGATAACTTCACTCATTAGGAGGTGTGACTATCACCTGACCATGGGAAGCCAAGTTTGACTGCTCAGGTGGTAAACATCTGAGTGCGTCGGGTTAAATTTTGCTGATTTTCTGTACTATGACCACTTTTCCTCCTGTGCCACCTGACCTCACCTTTCCCCCATGTCAGCAGGCACCTGCACACACATGCACAGCCCTCAAGGGAACAAAGCTGAGAGCAGCTCTGTGTGTGTGTGCCTGTAAACACCGTGGCTCCCAGAGGAGAACACGCACAGCTTTGTCTCTGGAGCATTAGCTCAGGAGTTGCTGGGCAATTGGCTGCGAGGTTTGGGAAAGAGCACTTCCTGTTCCAGACCCCGAGGGCACGCTTCTGCCCGAGACATGCACCCCTCTGAGCTTTAGCTTCCTTGCCTGCGGAAGGTGATAATGATAGTCGGAGCGGAAGGTGATGATAATGATAGTCGTTACTCCAGCAGGATGTTCTGAGGATTCTGCAGGGTCCTGTGTGAAGTGCATGCACAGTGTCAGCATTTACTAAATCATCCCCATGACTAACTATGATCAGGAGTCTCAGTTTCCACCTTTGACAAATAGGCATAATATTATATCCAGCTCCAAAGACTGTTGTGGGGCTGCAATGAGGTGATGCATGCAATGTTCCTTGTCAGCTGTAAAATGCCCTAGACGTGAAAGGCAAAGATGGAGAGAGGAGAATGCCAGCATCTCCGGTCCAACAGTGTCCCTCAAGAGGAGCAGAATGTGTGCAAGGGTCTTATTCTGTCTCCGACTCCTGGGCCTTTAAGGTACACATGCATCGCTGGCCCACGATGTTCAATACATTCTTAGAGACAGCTTCCCAGCAGCCCCACTGCCCTTCCACACCCGCTGGAAGTGCTTCCCGTCAGGGTTGCTGCTAGAGGCCCTACTTCCTGTTGCAAGTTACGTTTCAGGGTAAAAGAGGGACCTTCCTGCTTAGGTCACAATCCACTTAATTCGTTTTTTCTTCCTAGCAGCCATTGAGGCCATGGTCCCTTGAGCTTCCGTAGCAAGTGGCCTGTGTCTGGGTAGGGGCTTGTGTCCACCTGGGGCTCCCTCTGCCTCCTCCCAACCCAAGGAGGCCAGATCGCAGGCACTGGAGGGTCCATGGCCAGTGACCCTGTGGCTGAGCGTCTGAGCTTAATTCGTGGCCGTTCAAGACCGAGGCTGCACAGAGCTGACTGCTGGAGAGCTGCCTGCCTCCCCCTCCCTGCCTCAGTTGGGCACAACCGGAGACTCGCTGGCTGTGCGAACCACGATTTTCTGGTCTGGAAGGCCAGTGCTATATAAAGCAGTGGCCCTGCAGTTTAATTCTGTACCTCCTCATTTCCTCCCACAGGCTCTCCCTGGATAGGATTTGTGAGCCACAAGCTGTCTTCGGAGGCCTCCCCCCTCAGCCCGGTCCATTCCATGAATAGCCCCACAGCCCCCGGGAAAGGGCCTGGCTGCAAAGGTGCTGCCCCCCTTAGCTTGGACCGGGAATGAGCTGGAATGCTCTCTTCCCTTCAGGGCCTTTCTGCCACTGTCTCTAACCTCCCGCTGGCTTCTGCTTCCCTTGCCCGGCAGGACCTGTGTGGGGCCACCACCTGTGACACGCTGGGCATGGCCGATGTGGGCACCATGTGCGACCCCAAGAGAAGCTGTTCTGTGATCGAGGACGATGGGCTCCCATCAGCCTTCACCACTGCCCACGAGCTGGGTAAGGCTGGAGGGGCTCTCGGGTGGGGGGAGAGCTCCCCTCCCGGGTCTTTCTGGGTTCCCTGGGTGCTCAGAGGGGTGAGCGGGGAGACACATGGACATGTCTTTGCTTTCTCATGTCCCGAAGCCTTAGGGATCCTCTCTCAGAACATGATCTTGGGGACATCTGCTAAGCGACCTATCAATACGTAGAAATTACCGGCCTGAAAACCATTGACATGGGCTCCCTAGTTTCCCAGCCTCCCCCATGCCTTCTAACCGCACAGCCCACTGAGTCTTCTTGCCTCACCGCACAGGCCACGTGTTCAACATGCCCCATGACAATGTGAAAGTGTGTGAGGAGGTGTTCGGGAAACTCCAAGCCAACCACATGATGTCCCCAACGCTCATCCAGATCGACCGTGCCAACCCCTGGTCAGCCTGCAGCGCCGCCATCATCACTGACTTCCTGGACAGTGGGCATGGTAAGTGAGGGCGACAGAGCAGGAGTGCCAGTGTCAGGGCTGGCGGTGCTCGCCACATCTCGGGGCCTGTCCTTTGTTACCCACAGTGTGCACGACCCCAAAGAGGTGGCTCTGAAGCGGGTCCATTCCATTGCCCCTTGCTGCATTCAGACACTGGGCTAGCCAAGCCTCACCTTCCCCAGCTCATCCCTCATGAGTACCCTTGGCTCCCTGCAGGAGACTGCCTCCTGGACCAGCCCAGCAAGCCCATCGCCCTGCCCGAGGACCTGCCGGGTGCCAGCTACACCCTGAGCCAGCAGTGCGAGCTGGCCTTTGGGGTGGGCTCCAAGCCCTGTCCCTACATGCAGTACTGCACCAAACTGTGGTGCACGGGCAAGGCCAAGGGGCAGATGGTGTGCCAGACCCGCCACTTCCCCTGGGCGGATGGCACCAGCTGCGGCGACGGCAAGTTCTGCCTCAAGGGGACCTGTGTGGAGAGACACAACCTCAATAAGTACAAGGTGAGTATGCTGGAGGGGGGTAGACTCCAGGGCCTCCACTGGGAACTTGTCTCAACCCAGGTTTGCTGTGGGGCCATAACTGTATCACATTGCTGTTCTGTGCCTCGATTTCCCTGTCTGTGATTCTGTTACCTTCTTGACTCTAAGACTGGAGAGAAAAGATATGTAGGTGAGAAAGCCTGGCGAGGCCTTAGGCAGGTGGGCAAACCCTTCAACCAGAGTGAGGGGTCCCAGCGCTGAGCTCTGCACCTCACCCTACCTGGGAGGAGCCCTGGACCCAAAGCTGAACACTTGATATTTGGAGTTGCTCATTCGTTGGCTCCTTCCTTCCCTCATCAGCTCTTTCTGAGTGTGTTCCGTGTTCAGGGAGCTGTGGGCAGAGATGAGCAAGGCTCAGAGCTGAGAGGAAGCAGCCCCCTGGGCACGCCCCAGTAACCTGCTATGTCCCTAACCAAGTGTCAGTTTCAGTTGTGATTTTTGTTTTTTGAAGCTGAACCACAATTGAACAAGCTTTATTTTTCCTGAATAGCAGTCCAACCAGAACACATTTAAAACCCCAAATATTCTCTGAATATAATAAAAACTTTCTTCAGGTCCTGGGTTGGGACAGTAAAGGGATTTGTACTTTCCAGGCAGGAATAGGAAGCCCCTCTGCTCCCTCGATCCTGGTGAGGATCACCCCCTCCCCACCACCACCCTGCTGCAGGAAGGCTGGGTTTGGGGCTGTGTGTACCCAGGAGCAATATAATCAAAAGCATTCACTAAACATTTTAGCAATTTGCCCTGAGAGGGGTGTGGTACAGAATTATGTCAAATCTTTTTCTGTGTTCTGGGAATATATATTTTAATTAAACAGAAGCCATTTATTAGGCAACAACCCCTTGTGTTCAGGGAGCTATGTAAGATACAGTGGTGGTCAGAAAAACAAATAAAACTGGGCCATGTCTCAGAGGGCTCACAGGCCAGTAGGGAAGCTGGAAGTGGAATTAACACAAGACAGGGAGGTGCGTGTGATGTGTTGAGGCAGAAGTATGAAAATGTACCATGGGAGCACAGGCGATGAAGATTAGTGATCGTTAGAGGGGTCTGCAAACACTTTGATGAGGGGTCAGATTTGAAGAGAGCCTGAAGGGGTGAGTAAGGAGGGATGGAGCAGAGACGGAGCCAAGTCAGGGCCGTGGGACAAGCTGGAGCATTGGATGGGTGAGGGCTCTGTCAGAGCATCTTTGGGAAGGTGGTTTGGGGCTGGATTGCAGTTGCCTTGACCACCAGGCTGATGCAGTTAGACCAGAAGGCCCTGGCCAGCTCCTGCTCCTGAGATGAGTCAGGAGGATATTAGATACAGAAATGTGATCCGAGAATCACAACCTTTCCACATGCTTTCTGGAATTCTCAGTCCATCAGCGGCAAAGTCCACTATATCTTCAACCTCTTTTATAAACAGTTTCTTCTCCACCCTGTTTCAACTGAAGCCTAGCCCTTCACATGGACACTGTCCTCGTCAGCCAAGGTCAAACGCAAGCTTCTTCTGGTGATCACAGCAGCCCCTAGTGATCTCAGCTGCAAGAACACTCTGGCCACCAAGGCCTTGTTTTCTCGCTCCCTCCCTTCAGTGTTTGGACTCCAACAATTCTTCAATCCCGTCTGGACCTACAATCTTTTGATCTGGCCGTCTTGCCATTGTTTCTCACGTTTCTCATGCCCTCGCCAACCTCTTTACTGAGCTAGGATTCCACGGCTCATTGTTAAAGTCACTCCTTCATATACACTGTTGACTCTCACCTCCTTGATTGTGCCAGTACAGATGGATGTGGCTGGGGAAGGAATGCAATTGTGCTCACTGGTCTCAGTTTAAATTCATGACTTGGAAGCTTAGGTGGGCCCGTAATGCTGCCCAGGAGTTGTATCAGATGTTGTTTCTCTAGTTCACCCGCTTTCTCAACCTCCTAAACTAGTATTTCACACTGTCACCTCTCTCCTCCCATCACCAACTGTTTCTTCCTCATTTTCACTTTTGCCAGAGACCTCCTATTTCACTAAGAAAAAGAAGCAATAACATAATTAGAATTTCTACCAACTCCCACCACTACATCCACCGTCCGACCTGTTCTGTGCCGATAACTCTGCTTCCTCCTTGACGGCAGATGACCTGCCCATGCTCTCATCTGAGGCCGGGCTTCATGCTTTGCACTGGAATGCTGTCCCCTCTCATCCATTTGAGGAAAGCACTCCATCAATTCCCTCTCCCCTGCAGTGTCAGATTTCCCCTCCTGAGTTATCATTCCTAGCAGGGTACAAACCTGCTGTAATGTGTCCTGTCTCACCCAGAACTTCTCATGATCCTGCTTCCTCTCCGCGTATTGCATCCCATCTCTTGACTCCCTTTGCAGCAGAGTTCCTTGAAAGGGTTGTATAAACTTGCTCTGTGCAATTCCTGTCTCGCTATTTTTCTCTGGAGTGCATTCCAATGAGGCTTTCATTCCCACCTTTTCTCCAGAATAACTTAGTAAGACCAAGAAATGGCCTCCATGTGGCGAAAGTCACATTGCCTGACTATTAGCAGCATTTGTACGGCGATGCTTTCTCTCCTGGGGAGATGTCTTCACTGTCTCTTGGTTCCCGCCTCCCTTCAGCCTCCCTTCCAGCCTGCCCCGTCTCAGTCTCCTTTATGGATCCTTTTTCATGCCCTTGCTTTCCCAAAGTCGGAGAGCCCCAGGGCTCAGTCCCTAGCTCTCCTCACCACTCACACTAACTTCTTAGGTGATTCATCTAGACCACTGGCTTTAAACACTATTTGTATTTCTATGTCGAAGATGCCCAGATTTGTATCTCCAGCACAGACCTATCTCCTGAACTACAGGCCCCACTGAATCTTGACATCTCCATGTGGGTAACCGATAAACTGTAAATTCAACATCTGGGAAACTGAGCTCTTGATCAGCTCCCTGAACCTGCTTTGGCTCCATCTTCCGGTTGCTCATACCAACGCCACTTACCTCTCACTTCACATCCAATACCTCACCAATTCCTATTGACTCTATTTTTAAAATAAATCCAGGATTCAGCCATTTCTCACCACCTCATCTGCTGTCACCCTGGTCCAAGCCTCCATCACATGTTCCTTGGGTTACTGTGGTTGCTCCCTGACTGATCTGCTTACAGACTATTTCCACCATAGCAGCCAGAGGGAGCCTTTAAAATGTAAGCCAGGTCATGCCACTTCTGGGGCTTTATTTGTCTCTTAGAATGAGTGAGCCCTAACTCTCCTCCTCTCTTGTTTCTCTCGCTCTGTGATCCTGGAGCACTCCAGGCACCTCCCTTCTCCAGGTCTTTGTGTTTGCTCCCTCTGCGTGGAATGCTCTTTCCCCAATCTCTGCACAGCTCACTGCTGTACTTCCTTTAGGCCTCTGCAAAAATGTCACTTCAGTAGTGCGGCCTCTGTGATCCCTTATAATTCAGAGCAGCCCAGCTCTCCAAGGCCCTTCCTTCCCACCTCTCTTCCTCCCCCTGCTTTTAGCCCCACCTGACACTCTGTGCACAGGCTTACTTTTATTGTCTACCTTGCCCTGCTAGGATGCAGTCGCTTTGAGGGAGAGGATTTACTGCAGATGGTACCAGGCAGGTAGAAGGAGCTCATCGAATATTCGGTGAATGAATGAATGAATAACTGGCATGTGGGAGGAGCCTGAGGAATGCTCCCTGTAGAATGGGTGGGAAGAAGTGATTCCCGGCAAAAAACTGTCAGAAGCCACAGGAACAATGTTAAATAACTGAAAAACTGGAGATGGCAGGGCCTACGCAGGCTCTTTCAGTCTTTAGAGGTCCTTGCTGAGGGAGAGCAGCTTCCAAGGCATGATGGGGACGGGACCCACATTGCCAGCACTGAGCAGGGAGCAGGGAGAAAGCAGACAGCGAGGGTTCTCCTAGAGTAAAAGGGTGGAAGGATGGAATGGTGGGGCTCCAGCTTGAGGAGAAAGCAGGGCTGAGGGCAAGTGTTTTCTACAGGATGGAACAGTCATAGTGACACAATGAAGCAAGAACTGACAGAAGGACAGACAGAATAAATATGCTGCATCTATGCATAAATGAAAGCTCTTATATTGCACGCAGCCAGCTCCTGATGAGCTCCATGTGGATTAGTGGTTTTGGATGATCTGTGACTGCGTTTTAATCCCAGGCTTGTTCAACGGGGCTGATTCCTTTATTGCCCAACTGATGTGTGCTCAGGGGATAAAAACTCACTTTACTGTCATCATAAGAAAAACATCACGAAGACTATAAATTTCCTATCCCCTCTCCACCCTCTTAAAAATAAGACAACACTGCATAATTCAGCCCAAAGCCAAATAGAGTTTTAAGATTGCTTAACAGTCTCTTATGTGCATCTCCTCTTAGCACAGCATTGGGACTGCTTATAGTGAAATGTTTTTAAAGGCAGCTCCCTGTTGAGGTTAAGATCAGTCTGGTTTTAGGAAAAGTCTGAATGACAGATAAACATTTACAGATAAGAATATCCAGGTATCTGTGGTTTACTGGCAAGGCTGGGACTGGCCATGCCTTAGGTTTAGAGACTTGTAGGTACACTAACAACAGGTAAGGAGAAGCTTTGAACTCGGGCAGGGTGGCAAGCACAGCACTAGGAATTTCATGCACGTTGCATCATTTAAATCTTCTGTGTGACTACACACCTGAGTATTATGGCCTTGTTTTTGTGGATGAAGGATCTGAAACTTAAGAAGTTTCTCTACTTGCTCAAGACCACCCCTGTGGTGAGGGCAGAGGAGACTGCAGAATTTGGCTTCATTCCGGCAGGATGGGGTCGTGGAGGTTGTACCATGTCGCTGTTCTGCAGGCTCAGGGTGCGGGTGTGGCACCCCAACCCTGCAGGAGCATAACACACTCTTCCTCACAGGTGGATGGCTCCTGGGCCAAATGGGAGCCCTACGGCCCCTGTTCCCGCACCTGTGGCGGGGGAGTGCAGCTGGCCAGGAGGCAGTGCAGCAACCCCACCCCTGCCAACGGGGGCAAGTACTGCGAGGGAGTGAGGGTGAAGTACCGATCTTGCAGCCTGGAGCCCTGCCCCAGCTCAGGTGAGGAGGGAGGGCAGCGCTGCCCTGGGCCTGGGGAAGGCCAGGCTGGAGGTCACAGCCCCCACTCTGGGTCATTCATGGCCACAGAGTTACTGCCATCAAGGTTCTATACCTTAGGCCGGAGCCTGGGGATGCACAGGTGCACATTCCTTTTAGGATAACTTCTCTGTCTACTCCCTGGGCAAGGGCGCTTGTTCCGGATGCTTAGATTGGGAGGCTAGATGGCCCAAGGGAATGAGACACTAGAAGTCCCCTTGGTTACGTACTCCAAGGCCCATCATCATAAGCAGGAATTCATTACCCAAGGCCCATGACCTCAGGTGGGAAGAAAATGACATCTTTATTTTTACTAACCTTTTCAAATTAAAATTTAGAATTTCCTTCAATTAGAAATTTAGTATTTTGGCTAATCTTTCTATCCAAAATTGAGTAGTAACCCTACCTATGACTTTGTCACCAATAGAAGTCATGGATATTTCACATTACATTTTAGTCCTCACAGATTTCTCAAAATGCCATTTGCACTTGTCTCTATTTTGAAGTTGCAGTCGTTTTAGACTCATTATTGAGTCTTATTAATTTAATGTGTTAAAAAGAACATATATCACAATATGTTTCAAATGTATTGGTAATTGTATATCAATATAATTGGTATCCTTCATAGTCTATGTGATTTATTTTTTACATTTAATAACATTCTGAAAATAGCTTCCGTAGACTGCTGAAGGGTTGGTTCGAGGGCACAGAGGATTAGGACACCTGTTACAGCTGGCTGGCTGTAAGGCCAGATTCCTGGGGAAGGTGGCACAGTGCCTGGGAGATGCCTACTGTCCATGCCTTGCATCCGGTGGTCCCAGCCGGCTTTAGTCCTTTAGATGGGGTGGCTTCAGTGCTGAGGATCACTCAGCTGAGGGTGGGGAAGGGCTGTTTAGAGCCATGGGAGGCTGAGCTACTTTGCCCCCACCTTGGCCCCTCCCTTTAGCTTTCTGCACCTGCTTTCTCCCTCCCCAGCCTCTGGCAAGAGCTTCCGGGAGGAACAGTGTGAGGCCTTCAATGGCTACAACCACAGCACCAACCGGCTCACCCTCACTGTGTCATGGGTGCCCAAGTACTCAGGTGTGTCTCCCCAGGACAAGTGCAAGCTCATCTGCCGAGCCAACGGCACCGGCTACTTCTACGTGCTGGCACCCAAGGTGAGCGAGCCTGGGCCGGGAGGTCAGAGAAGGTTCAAGGCCTTCAGGGAAACATCCAGCTGAGCTGTCCCTCTCTCCTTTTCTCCCCTCCTGGGGGTGCTGCAGGTGGTGGATGGCACGCTGTGTACCCCCGACTCAACCTCAGTCTGCGTCCAGGGCAAGTGCATCAAGGCCGGCTGCGACGGACACCTGGGCTCCAAGAAGAAGTTCGACAAATGTGGGGTGTGTGGGGGAGACAATAAGAGCTGTAAGAAGGTGACAGGACTCTTCACCAAGCCCATGTGAGTTCTGGGCCCTGGAGGGTGTGGCCAGGGTGCAGGGGAGAGGAGGGCTGAGTGGCCTTGCTCCCAGGTGTTGGAAACTTGAGTTCGAGTGGGGAAAATGTCAGATCCTGGCCAGTACCTTTGCTGTGGAGACCACTCACACTCTTCTATGAGCATGACATTCATTCATTAATTCATTCATTCAGCAAACAGATGAATGCAAAGATGAATGCTCCAGGAGGACCCCACTCAACAGGAGATGCTACTCAGGGAGATGGCAGAGAGTTGTTAGGGTCTGTCTAGAGTCCCGGGGTAAGACTGACCTGAGTTCACATTTCGGTTCCCAATATTCCGGATGACACTGGGGAAGTGACACACGCTCTAGAATAATAGATTTCTTCACTTATAAAGTGGGCATGTCACTAATATATTTCATGTAGAGCTGTTGTGAGAATTAAGGGAGTTAGTACCTGGTGCATAATAAATGCTCACTAAATGTTTATGATGATGATAACTAAAGGTGGTAGCAAAACATAACTATACTGGAGGCAAAATGTGACAACCTCGCCCTCTCCCTAAGCCCGAGGCCTTGAGACCGGAGTGAGGTGAGAATGGCACTAAACTGTAGAGAGAGGCAGTGTGAGGGGCTGGGACTGAAGGAACGCCCCTTCCTGGGAGACCTGTGCCGGGACCAGCTGAAGAAATGTCTTCGGGCTTCTTCCCTTCCCAACTCCAGAGCCTGATGCTCCCTAGCTTGAGCTTTCTGAGGTCTAGCACATTCCCTTTTATTTTCCAGAGGAATGTGCTCCTTCCAAAGTCCTGACCCATGTTCTGGGAGCAGCTAGGGCAGGCAGAGCTCCTGGGTCTCTTTTAAGGGGCAGACATGGCTGGCCAGGAGCCTCAGCTGCCCCCCTGGACACAGGGCCCTCTGCTGAGCCCCTAAGTGGGCAACTCTGGCAACTTGGACACTGCAGGCAGATGGTGTCCTAGGCTGTCCTTCACAGGGGTCTGCAGGGGAGGGGGCAAGTGAGGAATTAAAGGTTATAGCTCCAGACTTGTTCCATTGGTTAAATGACAGGTGTTCCTTTCATAGCCTATGGGAGCTAGAGGAACCTTTGCTTTCATCTAGTTTAACCTGCTCATTGTATAGAGGAGGACACTGGAACCCAGAGACACTGACTTTAAAGCCACCAGGGAGTTGGTGTCCCAGCCAAGGCTTGATCTGGGTCCCTGACTCTAGGGCCTCTGCATTGAGGCCCAGCCTTGGACTCAGGGGCTGCAAACATTTCCTCTCCCTCCTCCCTGTAGACATCCATTGAGCGCTTGCTCTGTGCAGGCCCTATGCTTCATGCTTTGTGTGCTGTAGATTATTTCGTCCTAATTACAATGCCATGAAGTGTGTGTGACGATGGCCTCTATAGGGAGGAAACTGAGAAGCCGAGTAACTTATCTCAGGCCAACAGCTAGGTGTGTGGCAGGGATCCCTCTGACTCCAACACTTCCACTTTTACTCACATGCTAGAATTCACCAAAATATAATTGTACTGAAGGAAAAAAAGGCCACGAGGCGATACAGCCAGCAAACTTAGTTTTAGATGACCTGAAGACAGTCTCCCTCCCACCTTGCAGCTCGGGTGCCTCCATGGCCCGGGCGCCCTGGCTGAGGCAGCCTGGTGAGCCTTTCTTCTCTGCCATCTTCCTGACCTACCCAGGCTTTGTGAACGGGAATCATAGGACTTTAGAGGGATCGAGGCCGTCACGTGCAGGCCTCTGTCTAACGCACGGTCCCCTCCCACCGCAGGCACGGCTACAATTTCGTGGTGGCCATCCCTGCAGGCGCCTCGAGCATCGACATCCGCCAGCGCGGCTACAAGGGGCTGATTGGCGATGACAACTACCTGGCCCTGAAGAACAGCCACGGCAAGTACCTGCTCAACGGGCACTTCGTGGTGTCGCCGCTGGAGCGGGACCTGGTGGTGAAGGGCAGTGTGCTGCGCTACAGTGGCACGGGCATGGCGGTGGAGAGCCTGCAGGCCACCCGGCCCATCCTGGAGCCCCTGACCGTGGAGGTCCTCTCGGTGGGGAAGATGACGCCTCCGCGGGTCCGCTATTCCTTCTATCTGCCCAAAGAGCCTCGGGAGGACAAGTCCTCCCACTCCAAGGACCCCCGGGGATCCTCCGTGCTCCACAACAGTGTCCTGAGCCTCTCCAACCAAGTGGAGCAGCCGGAGGACCGGGCGCCCGCGCGCTGGGTGGCGGGCAGCTGGGGGCCC